CTCGGCGAGTGTGGGGTGGGGCGTGTACGTAGGTACCCCGGTTCCACTGGGTTGTAAGGCCAATGCTCGGTGAGCTTCTTCCGCACCTTGTAACGCGACAAGGCCTTCGACGGGGGCGTCGCAACGCAGCCCGACGGGATGAAAGGAAAGGAGCAGCCCTACACCAACTGTGCCGCACGATGGCTCGAAACACCTTCACCGGTTCGGTCGCAACCGAGGCCGATGGCACTAACACTGGCTTGTACACACGACAAAGCCCTTCGAGGGAGACGTCGTTGCAACAGTCTCCGTCGGAAAATAGGTCACAGTAGCAGCGCTACGTCAACTTTGTCGCCCGATGGCCAAGACACCTACACCGGTTCGGTCGCAACCGAGGCCGATGGCACCAACACAAGATAAGGGAAAATACGTAGAATTAGAGATAGAAAAGGATAGGGAAATAAAGGAAAAGGAAAGGGAACCCCCGAGCGCAAAGGATGAAGTAATCTGTAGTAGAAGGGAATATCTTGTGAAAGACGGACTTCGACCAAGGCGATATCAGACTCTGGCAACTCGGGTTACCTTTACTGACAGTGGGCTAAGGTAAATATCGTCCCGCGGGAGCCACTACAGTAGCTCGCGGCTCTAGATCCTAAATCTAATGTAATGTCAGCCAAATTAATGCTAACTAATTCACTAAATAAAAGTAATAATTAAAATAGAAACTGTGCAAATATTCACACGTGTGTCCATCAATCCCGGACTACAGTATTCACATTCCAACTTAGTTTCTTTTCCCTTCACCCCCTTGTGCAACCCCTTATTGCACTACACCGTACTCGGACACGCACCGGATTGCAAACAGTCTGACACCGTAAAACTGTAAACCCTCATGTGCATATACGTGGATGCGTGTACATGTGTACGTACACGAATCCACCTGGCGACGTGTACATGTGTACAAATCATACATGTGTCCCGCCCGGGGGCTCCAGGCAATTACCCATTACAACCATGGCGAACCACTTGAAACCCCCAAAACAATGTAATTATGGCATATACAGGCCATTTAAGGTACATCACAAGGCGATGACACACACGTGGAGAACGCTCGACAAAAGGATTTGCAGCATTAGACCTGAGAGCCAATAGAATTGCAGTATTTTCTGTCTAGTCTAGAGTGCTATGGGCCAAGGTTCCACTTGGCAAAACTGTGCAAATTTGTATAACCCTCCAAGAGGCCACTTTCGTCCCCGGAACCCCAAAATCTGGGATTTTGCACCTGTCATGCCGTCATATGGGTGAGAGCGTCCGGAACGTCCAGTCATGTACACGTGTCGCTCGATTTTGACCTTTTCAGATAACAGCATGTGGTCGCACATTTTCAATAGAGAAACTACTGCTTGGTGCCATGCTTGGGCGGACGCGCCGCTCGCGCCGCTCTTAGGATGGAAAAGAGACGGAGATTCTTTACAAATTGGCCAGCCCTCCGGGAGGGTTGTCGACAAGGGGAATTTATCCCAACCATCCGCACGCGGATCGCGTCGCTCGCGGCGCCTCGGGATCGCTTCTTGGAGGCGCCCTGCTCGCAGCGGGCAGCGGCGGGGACTTTTTCGCGCGTGCTGTACGCCGCGACGCGCGAACCGCATCACACGAATTGCCGCGCGCGAGCGTCGGCTCGGCCAACTCGGTGGCCGGCTGCATCTCGCCGCGTCGTCGGCGTCGCGATCGAAGTGCCGGAGCCGCTCTGGTCGACGCCGAAGCCCCAGCAGGGCTCAACGGCGCACCGTACGGAGGCGCGGCAGGGGAATTCTCGCGGTCGACCGTTTTCGGGTGTGGAAAGAGCTACTGTATGCGAGTGTCGTCGCTGAAAAGGGGCATCGCATGGAGGAGAGTGAGAGGAATGAGTTGGATGCTGGGCGTGGATCGCGTGATGGAAATTGGAGGACGCAATTACCGAGCAGGACGAGACAGCTGGCGTAACGACTGCCAGCTCGGAGCCGTGGCGGGAGAAAGGCCCGTTCGCGCGCAAAGGGCTTCGATCTCCGCATCGCGCGCGCAGGGAAGGAGAGAAGCCGAACGGGAACCGCGTGGTCGGGTTGACGGTCGCTACAAGGACGTAGCGAAAGCTAAGAAAGAGGGTCTCTGGTATAACGACGGACGCGCGCGCGGGGAGATTACTAACCGTGCGGCCGTGCATGGTGGACACGTAGGCGAGTGTGCTCACGTGTAGGGAGCGCGTGCGTGTACGGACAGGTCGTGGCGTGGCCCACGTGTACAGTAGCACACGTGTCGCCCGAGCGGTAGTCTACGAGTATTACGTGTGCGCGTTAGCACACGTGTTGTCCGTGCCGTAGTCCGTAAGCATCATGCGTGTACAGTAGTACACACGGGCAGTAGCAGCGTCCGTGCGGTAGTAGTAATTATGGCGCTAGCTTCTTAATTGTGTACAGTACCCGCCACGCACTAGGCCGCAGGTACTGTACCACTGTACTGGGACAGATGTCCGAAGCGTCCCTCTGAGGGGTCAAGAGCTGACACCCGTCCCCACCAGTAAACTGGGACAAGCTCGCCCCGTCCCTTTCGCGTCTAACCTACGACTGTTCGGTAGTTTATCCGCGCACTGGCTTCTACCGTTACCGGTCGCTCCCGTTTACGCATCACGGGGCGACTGCGCGTAACCAGCCTGTCCTCTCCCTTTTTGCGAGTTCGACCGTACCGGATCTATTCGCACCGCGCGTCCGCGTCGCGTGCTTCCTCTGTAAAGCCTCCGCCTCTCATCCAACCCAGGGCGGAGAAGAGTTATCCCACGACTTAGTCCGGCTCAGGCCAAACTTCCTCTTCCATCCATTCATGCGTGCAACCCGGTGTTCTCGGTTGTTCAATCTCATTCCTGACTGCAGCATAGTGACTCACACCAACCCTGCTCTCATTTTCTCTCCATACCTTTTGTATATGACTCGAGAAGTCTTTGGAGACTTCCATCAGAGTCTCTAGAATGCTGAATTTATTGCGCCCCTCCACCTTCCCTTTGTAGTCTACGTACGAAATAAAGGCTTCACGAGCCTTTACTGAAACGAACTTCCCGAACACAGAATCCTCACATAGAGCAGCGTGTGACTTGCTCATGTCATTGCAGCTACTACAGTAGTCGTCGGAGTCCCCTCTTCAGCGTAAGATCAATCTCAGCCGCTGTGTGAGGGTAGATACGTGATTGACTCGCGAAAAGACGCTGAACAGTGGAAGAAGAAAGGTCGCGATGGCCAAGGCGCGTTGCGTGTCGATGGGAGAGCGACAGGCTGTGCGGGGTGCCGGAGAGTGAGATAGAGAGTGGGGAGGGTTTAGGGAGGAAGCGCGGCAATTAGGAGTGCCGACGACGGCAACATTTCTTTCTGAAATGTTTATGTTTTTCGCGGACGACGGCAACATTCGAAATGTTTATGTTTTCAGAGGTTTGTTTCTCTTTAGAGTTTCCCTTACGCAGAGATCCATACATCTTAGCTGGACCAACACGGAGATTAGCGCCGAGAAATGCTTACGCTGGCTTTAAGCCAGGCGTTTATCTGCCCTTTTTAAATTTGAAGATTGGCGTCGGTGCCAATGAGGTGTTGCCAAGGTCGGGGCTGGCTGTGTGCCAGGCGGTTGCGTGTAAGGAGAGGGGTAGTGTAATGGAGCCAGAAATAGTTTAAAATTTGGCCTCTGACGAATAATTTAAACTTTAAATTATTCGTCAGGGGCCAAATTTGGGGTGGAGAGAGGCCTTCGGCACGAACGCACACGGAGCAGGCTAGAGTTAATAAAGGCCCACTCTTAACTAGCCTGCGAACTTCCGTAACTAGCCATCGCAGCGTGAGAAGGCCTTTCTTAATCACTTTGGGGAAGGGTTTTAACTGTTTCCGACTGACTGACCAACAACCACACACGTCTCGTCCATATCTTAACCAAAAAGATTACACAGGCACATGATACAGAGTTTTTATAGAGTTCAGTTATGGTTTTTGATTGAAAAGAAGCAGTTATTGCCAATATCGCACAAACTCAATATCGCAAAAAATACTGATATGGGGCGGGGGTGCGATATTGAGGAGCATGCGCTGTGTAAGAATGTTTCCCATCGTCCACCTGACCAATGGTGCATGGGAAAGGGAAAACACAACTGCCTTGGCAACTCTTGATAGAAGGACAAACCAGTCTAGTTCGACAGGAGACATTTGAATATTAGCTGTTCCGTGTTCGGAGTTCTCTACGCCTGCGTCGTGCATCGCGCCAGAGGACAAGCATCTTCAAGGTCTTCACTGCTGTGGCCCCTTTAGACAACCACAGGACGCAGGCTGTCAGCCACTCTCTGAAATTCTGAAAATACTTTCAACTACGAATTTCTCTCTCACTGGGGGCAAACCATGGTCCCTTGTCGCGTCATAGTTGAGCTACACATTCATAAGCGCATCTAATGGACAAAGATTCGTTCATTTACCTTGCCGTGATGAGTAAAGTTGCACACACGTTCCACGACGGTCAAACGGGTACAAAAATGTACATGACCAACAGGGGGCTGAATGACTTGTTGTAAGGGTTTAATGATGGAAGCTGTACCAGATGAACAACGCAGGGAATTATTCCAGTGAGGGCCGGACCTTTAAAGTACTTAAAATAATCAGTTGGGGTCGAATTTGAGTGTCAATCCAAGATTGTTAGACTTGCCGTGATGCCAGGAGATGGTAATGTTTCATTTTATGGGAGGGTGGTGCTTGTTGAGGTTCTGAGGCAAAACTTGCTCACTAACGAGACATCGGGAACATGAGATGTGGGCAGGGGTTTATGGAAACATAACAAAGGAATCGTGGGAAATCAGCCAACTTCCTTTGGTGAAGACCAGTTCTGTGATCCTCGAGTACCTGACGGACTCACAGTCTTCACAATCATGCGGTATGAAAGAACCGACACTTCGACATTGGCTCCTTCGAGGCGAATATTGTACGTGGAGCAAATGGGCGGAAAAGGAGGAGCCTAGAATTCCAGTGTCAGCCAGAGCAGCGATAGTATCGGATAGGCCCTCTCCTTGGTGAAGGCTGGAGTGAAAAGTGGTCCCCTCGACGGCGGATATGAGAACGGATATATCTGCATGGAAAAGGAGAGAGAGCATGGGGCTCGCGGCGGCGGGCATGCTGGCCGATACTTCGGAGGCGAAAGTAAACAGAGCTGCTTGTGCCGCTTCGGTTGCTTGGGCTTGAGCACTCTTCATGGTGGAAGTGGTTGCGTTGATGTGGCAACGTGATACGAGACGAAAGCCGGAAGGTATCGACGTAAGGCTCAGATGTCATTGACACGTTGCGAGAAACTCTTTAAGGGCAGTCGAGAAGGTCGTTTGTCCGTTCCAGGCTGAGAGCACTTTTGGCTGAATGTTTTTCGTTTGGGGATAAAATGTACAGTATTTCGCGCATCTCTATCGCTGTCTTGGGTTAGTCGACGGGAAAACAAATTGTTCGTCCGTCAGGGGCTGGAGAAGGAAAAGAAGGAAAAGGAGCGATGAGAGCTGCGATGGAAGCAGATTTGGCTAGCAAGAATTTGGTAGACCAGAGCGCGTCGGGGTTTAGCCGAGCGGTAAATTTGTATGCGAGATGGAAACTATAAAGCCAGATGACAAGAGCAGAGCAGTGAGGGCTGCGGCTCGAAGGTGCTAGACGCCCAATAGTAATAAAGCTAAAATGAGGGCGGATTGTGTTCCCAGTTGTCAACACACTCGCATGTGTTGACACGTTCGACGTGAGAAAACAGGGCTGCGAGAAGTGGCCGCGTAGACCACGGTGGTTTATATTATACCGTATCTCTACTCGCAAGTGCGAGGAGGCGATATCTGGGCGCGAGGGAGCGAGCGAACCAGCGGCAGTGTGCTAAGGGCGATTCAGCGAGGTCACCTACGCATAGGCTGTTGGAGCACGCCAAGCAAAGAGCGAGTGGTTTTTCTATGGTGCAAAGTGATGCTTGTTGTACTCTACTCGGACGTGCTGCGTGTGATTCCATGAACTCCGATGCCCCCGATCCTCTCAGGAGCGGGCGGCCGTCGGCGACTTTATTGTGCAAGTGTGTGGCGTGCCCTATTGGCGTTGCCTTATTTGTTAGCCTATCTTACTTGCCTCTGGATGTAACCACACTGCGCCAGCGGCTCGCGCGTCGAAAAGTCTTGGTAGCATACAGCATGCAGTGGAGCCTTCCCGGGGCCGCCTCGCCATGTTCTAAAAGGGCAAGGGCCCGCGGCGAAATGCAACGTAAGAGTAGATGGAGCGGCGTTGTACACTTCTGTGCGACGGTTGCGTGCATCATGTCTGTTACCGAGGGCAGGGGACAGCGGCAATCGGTACCAAACGGGGACATTGTCTTGAGCCTTACCCTTTTTTGCTGTTGTCACATTTTACCATCATACATCACGCACTCTCCGTGCTTTGTCGACGCTACCTGACTCTTTGTTCTCCTCACCAACATCTCTCTACCACGCGGCCCCCACCCCCGTCTCTCACAAACTCCCGCCATCTCGTCCCGCCATCATGTATGTTCTCCGTTCCCTACTCTAGTTCCTCCGACCCCCTCTCCCCTCCCCCCCTCCCCGCCCTACATTTCCATTTCCGCTACGCGTTCCCCTCGTTCCACAACACCCCTGACATGACACATCTCACATTTCCTTCATCACACCCTGCTCTCCCTCCATCGAGACATGGATGAGCCCTTGCCTGCAGACGACTCCCATTCCAATCCCTCACACCCCCCCTCTTCCACAGATGAAGCTTACAAGAACTACCCCACTTCTCTACATCACTTACCCCCGATCTACGACTCGGATTCCGAGTCCGATCACCAGCATTCCCAAGATGACTCTGACGACGACCCATATTTTCCTAACCGTCACCTTCAACTCTCCTCTTCCTCCAACTACCGACAGGTTTTCGCTTCCCGCCTGTCCTCATCGTCCACCCCTCACCACCCACAATCCCGTTCTCCATTCACTTCCCCTCCCCGCACGCCCCAACAAGCCTCAGTTGCTTCACATCCATCTACGCCCGCGCAAGTCCAACTACCCCGATCGCTCTCCAACTCGTCATCCTCGCCCGCCTCGACCTCCACGTCTTCATCCTCGATCTCCTCACCCCTCTGTCCCCCGTCCACCTCGTTCCCGATTGCCCCGCTTCTTCCCGCACATGGTGCTCCTTCATTCGTCCCGATGGCCCAACAACCTCAAAATCCCGCCCCGCCGGAGCCATCCGACTCCTCTCCTCCTCTCCTCGCGTCGTCACCTCCGGAGGATCCACTCTCAGGCAACGATATTCGCCAACGCATCCGTGCCATTTCTCGCGACCCGTCTTTGTCAGAGGAAGAGAAGAGCAAACAACGCCAAGCCCTGCTCAGCCAACCATTCCATCAGCGCCGGAAAAAGGAGGCCACGGCTTTCTCCGCCGAAATGCGTCGCCAACGCTACATCAAGACCTATTCGAACGTCGACCATCCCAACACGGGCGAGAAAATGCCAGGCTGCGAACACTACCCTCGAAATTGTAAAATCAAGGCTGACTGCTGCGGACTTTGGGTAGTCTGTAGACTATGCCACGACCATCCCAGTGTGGACCATGCGATTGTGCGCTTTGACACCCAAGAAGTGATGTGCATGTTCTGCTTGACGGAGCAGCCTGTATCTCGTCGTTGTATGAACGAAGAATGTAACCGGGAGTTTGCTCGATATTTTTGTGCCAAGTGCAAGTTTTACGACAACACGCCGGGCAAGAATATCTACCATTGCGATAAGTGCCAGATTTGTCGTGTTGGGAAAGGAATCGGACACGATAACTTTCATTGCGATCGGTGCGATGCGTGTGTGTCGCGCGAGACTTCAAAGACGCATCGGTGCCTGAAGAAATCGCTCGACGTCAATTGTCCTATCTGTGGGCATTATTTACACACTTCGACACTACCTGTAGTATATATGCGATGCGGGCACACGATGCATGCGCACTGTTTTGACACATACACCGTCGAGCATTACATTTGTCCACTATGTCACAAGGCACTTACCAACATGCGAGGATATTACGCCCAGATTGATGAGGCCATGAAAGAGCAAGAAATGCCCGAAAAGCATCGAAACAAAGTGGCCGAAGTGTTGTGCCACGACTGCGACAAGAGATCAGAGACTGCGTATCACTTTCTATATCTCAAATGCCAAACGCCAGATTGTGGAAGCTACAACACGCGCCTTCTACGTACTATTGAAAGGGTCGCTGGTGAAGGGTCTGGTCGTCATGCCGAAGGTGCGGACAGTGGAAGCAGTGAAGACTCAAATGTTGAGATGGGTGCTCAGCGTGGTGGTAGTCTTGAAGAAGACGAAGTCATGGAATGGCGCAACGGCAGGGATAGCCCTGAGAGCGATTCGATGCAGCTAAGTTAGAGAAAGCTGCTTTACCCTTCACGAACTCCAGGTCAAAAAGGCTTAGTTCACAAACGAACACGATAGCTATATTTTCTCGGTGTGTCTGGATATCTCCACGACCAGAAGTTTAGTAGATATTCAACTTTCTTAAGTCACACGACGAAGACGCATGCAAGACATACGCGCCTGAAATTGTCGTATTGCGAGAGCGCATATGATACTTGGAATCTTGGAAGCATATTTCTTTTTGTCTTTCTCGAGTTGATTTAGAGCTGGAAATTGTAACATACATGCAGTCTTTTTCATGTCACATGAAGTATAGTAGGATACATGGTAGAGTAGGACGATAGCCTAGTGTATTACGATCTGGCGAAGGCTGAGTTTTGACGGATGTCTCATTTTGGCGTTTCGATGAAAAATTGGAAAGGGAATGTGATAGAACAAGAAATTCAAAAAGCCTTGTTGTCACAAGGAGGAGGATGCTCATTGTCCACTGCAAGATCGCAATTTGTTGGCGATGAAAGGGCGAGGTAAAGTCAGGCGTTCGTAAACATAATGCTTTAGGAGATCCGCGCGGCCCTCGCCTCATTGACGCGAAATTGTTTCTTGCATAGAGGGAAACCGTATCTCATCTTATCCGACATCGCTTTTGTTGGCCTCTGGTCGTGGTGGCAATGTAGCCTAACAGGCTAGAGTGGCTATCGGGGAGCGCGATGCGATAGTAGGTTGACGCAATGCGATTAAGTTCACTTCTTGAACGGTTTTGATACCTTTTTATGTGTGATGATGCTATGGTCGGGCTTTAAGCGGACTCCGTCGTTCCGTGCCGCCGCGACACAGATGGATGACACGTGTGGGGCGTTTGTCGGTGCCAGCACCGCAGCGCCAATCCTCATCCAGCGTTGCATCTGCTACCCTCGCCCACATGCCTTATCCCCGCATGCTCGCCGTTTCCAGCTGCCGCTTCCCCCCCCCCTAACCCCCCCCCCGCTGTCCCCTTCCCTCTCCCGCATGCGACTGCTCCACGGCGGCTCACCCCTGCCGCAGCGGCGCCCTCCGCGCCTGCTGCGCCCCTTCCTGCGTCTCCCAGCCCTCGCTCTCCTCCTCCACGCACACAAACACCTGCGTCGGTCCTACAACTCGCTGCTGGCGCGCGCCGGCAATGCGACGGCCTGCTTCGAGCTGGGCGTCGCGCTGCAGCATGGCGACGGGCGCGCGATGGATCGCTCGCGTGCACGGCGGCTGTTTGAGCAGGCCATCGATTCCGCGGGCCACGCCGGTGCCATGGTCATGCTCGGGCACATGTTCCACGAGAAGAGACCGGACAACTGCGACGACGTGCCCCTCGCCGTGTTCTGGTACCTAGCAGCAGTGAAGCAAGGCGACGCGCGCGCGATGAACAACCTCGCCGTAATGCTCGAGGAGGGTGTTGACGGTCTAGTGACACGGGACGTTGCGACGGCGATGGAGCTGTATAATCTAGCTGTTGATGGCGGGAATGCAGAGGCTAATTATAACCTGGCGTCAGTGCTGTGCGACAACGAGAATGACGAGGAGGACTTGTGGCGCGCGGCAAAGCTCCTGCGGCGCGCCGTGCGGAAGGGGATTGTGGAGGCGATGTTCGATCTCGCGCTACTGTGGGATGGGCGGCTGTGTAAACCGTGGAGGGCAGGAAGGTTGTATGAGCGGCACTTCAAGGAGACGGGCAGCATGAAGTCGATGATCAAACTAGCCGAGATTCTACAAGTCGGGACGTGGTGGTATCCCATTGACTTGGAGCGAGCAGCGGCGTTGTTCCAGCATGCGGCAGAGCAGGGGGATTTGTTGGGGATGGAGAACTATGCGCTCCTGCTCTTAAAAGGTAAAAACGGGGTGTCCCGGGATGTGGGGGAGGCGCTGAAAATGTATGGGCGTGCGGCAAAGAGTGGGGACTTGAAGGCGATCAACAACCTAGCGGACGTGCTGGAAGATGGGGGCGAAGGGGAATTGATTGCGGACCCAGTAGCGGCGGCGTGCCTGTACGAGTACACAGCGGGCCGCGGCAGCGGTGCAGGGATGTACAAGCTAGCGCTGCTGCTAGTGGCGGGGGTGGAGACGGACGGGCGGGCGGCCATGACGGACGAGCTGCTCGCGGAGATCGTGGGGCCGGGGGAAGAGGACGGAGTGCAGGGTATGGGCTTCGGGGCGCTGCGCGGCAGCGGGCAGCTGGTAATCGCCCAGGACACGGCGCGGGCCATGCGGCTGATGATGCTGGCAGCAGAGGAGAAGCATTACAGGGACGCGGTGAAGTGGCTCGGAGAGCTGTTCGTGGAAGGTGCGGACTGGGTTGAGCGCGACGCCGTGGAGGCAGTGAGGTGGTTTCAGATAGGGGCGAGAGTTTGGGACGGGTGCGGGGCGTGGGAGCTCGAGGAGTTCCTCAGGGAGGGCGGCATGGGGGTCACGGAGCGTATCGAATGCGTGACGACGCCAGTGTGTGGCTGGAAGGAGGCGGCGTGAGAGACACGCAAGAGGACGGGAGTGCATATGTTGTAGGGAGTGCCGGGGGGGACACAGCGGAAGCTGGTGCGCGGCGAGAGGCAAAGCGGGACGCGTGCGGTAGATGAAGATGGATGGGGAGAGGTTGTGCCAACGGTAGTGAGACGCTGGGAGCGGTGGGAGCGTGTGCGGACGGGGGGAAGTGTTCGTAGCAACTCGGTTTGTTGCTCTCACTCTTTCTGGTGCACACACGCGGCACTGAGGACCCGTGTCGGAGCGATGGAGGCGGGGGTGCGGGAGGCCGTGTGGCAGTGGGGCGGGGGGCGTGGCGGCACGCGGGAAGGGGAGGGGGTGTGGAGGTGTTGGGTACATGGTGTAGACGACCCTTGGTACTGTAATGGGTTAGGAGCAATACCGTGTACAGGAGGTGGATAGTGCACTGTGATAATTGTCGCATCCTAATCCTTCAGGTCACGACTTCCCACACGTGTCTGCCTCTTCGTACACCTGGTGATATCATGCATTTTCAAGGAAGTGGAGATGTATGTGGCATGTGTTGTGGAACCTGCTGCAAGTGACGCCATTCGCAGAGGGAGAAGGGGTAACAACAGCATCAAACAAAGCTTTTGTTTGATGCTTTTCATAGAGAATTAAAGAAACGATGAAGAGGCAGGTGGTGATGGGGAGCTGCTGTCCCTTTTATTTGGCCTAGAAGCGAGTGTACATGATTTTAGATGTATTCGGCTATTGACACAATACAATTGAGCAAGTCATGTGACGTCAACAGGAATCGTAAGGGACGATAGGAAATACTGTTTTGCTATTGTTTTGACATATCACGCTCAGTTAGCCAACCTTTAACCCGTTGCTGACCAAGAAAGTGATAGCAAAAAGTTGAAAATCTGGGCAATGTGCGCCCCAGTCCTTCTGTAAACCAGAAACACATAGTAAACCAAACCAATTTAAGTGTCATATTCCTAGCTTTCCAACGGTATCAGTTGAACGAAGTATGCAGCACCTGTTCCAAACATATGAGCGATCAAACATTTCGTAACGGTCGCAGCTCAAACTCACCCCAGAGGTATCACCATTGTCTCTCAGAAATTTCTCAAGGTAAGCATTATTTCTCCTACATCACTAACATCACCAAACGCATATCCCTATAATCTAAGTGTACGTAAGCGTAGATACATATTTACCAAATTCTATCCCCCATTCGCTCCCCTACGCTGCACGCCGACGCGCTCTAGTACCTACTCTTCCCATCTCGTTGTCAACTCGGGCCTTAAATGCATCAATGTCTTCAACAGACGGCTTCTTCTTGGCCAGCTTCACCTCTGAATGCCATTCCTCCCAACAAGACACACATATTGGTTGACGACAACTCATACACCACCTGTTTTGCATTGCGCCTGTTCGGAATGTCTTCTTTCGATACATGAATATAAAAACGCATAAAGAGCAGTAGCAACTTTTTCCTTTAACAGAGATGTGGTTGAGTGCTTGATTGTAGTGCAATGTGCCTAGCAGGCCGCGACCACAGTCCGACGGACAAGCAAAAAGAAGAAAAACAGCAACAGCAACAACCACTGCCGGCGGCACGCGCTATGAAGCGCTTGGGACTTCCTTTCCCCTTATGTGGGCTTGCGGCTCACGGTAGCTCAACTCCGACGGGGGGCTTAGGGAAGATGCCCGTCCCGGGAGGATGAATGGTGGCAGAGACTTGCGAAGACTTGAGTGCTCGACGAGTGCGGGTTGGGCGTTGTCTACTGAAAGGTGACCGCTGTTCGCTGGGTTGTAAGACCAAAGCTCGTTGAGCGTCTTCGACACCTTGAGTATACTTTAAGGTCCTCGACGGGGGCTCGATTAGCACTACCCGACGGGAACATAACTATGTTGCAACGCTACGACCCACGTGTTGCCCGATGGCAAAACACCGACACCAATGCGATCGTAATCGCAGCTGATGGCACCAACACTGTCTTGTATGATAAGACCTTCGAAGGAGACGTCGTTTCAACAGCCTTCCGATGGAACAGGACACTGTAGCAGCGCTACGACCTACGTGCAGCCCGATGGTAATCACACCAACACCGGATCGGTCGCGACCGACTCCAATGGAACCAACACAATTAAGGGAAAAATAGAGGTGGAGATGGAAAAGGATAGGAATTAGAGATAGAAACGGTAAAAGGATAAGGAAAGGGGACCCCCGAGCGCAAAGGATAAAGTAATCTGTAGTAAAAAGGAATGTCTTGTAAAAGACGGACTTCGACCAAGGCGATATCAAACTCTGGCAACTCGGGTTACCTTTACTGACTTGTTGGTCAGTGGGCTAAGGTATATATCGCCCCGCCAGAGCCACTACAGTAGCTCGCTGCGCTAGATCCTAGATCTAATCTAATGTCCGCAAAATTAATGCCAACTAATTAACTAAATAATTAAATAATTAAAAATTAAAACTGTGTAAATTATTCACACGTGTGTCTCCCAACCCGGACTACTTGTCATATCCAATTGTTTTTCTTTCACTTCACCCCCCTGTAGAGCCCTGTATTGCACCACATTGATTAAGTCTTTTAGAACGATGATGAGCCTTATTGTATTCCCTGTATGCGTTGCGAGCAAACAACTGTCTCAGTGCCCATGCATTCGATCCTGCCTGTTGCTCATGTGTCATAACATGCCTTCCATATGAGAATCTCATTTCCCATTCCTCAGCCAAACGACGGCAAAACATACCTGCATTCTGTACTCTGGTAATTCTATGTCTAAGCTTAGCGTAACCGCGCTGAAGTTCGGGAATCATTTCAACTTCCTCGCTGTAGCATAAACACCCCCAAACGGCGGGGGTGTATGCACGCAGTTCAGTAGCAGACTCCGGATCGGCGGAAGACGGAACACACGCAAAGGGAAAGGACACGGGTCCTGGTAGCGTGGTAGAGCGGGAAGGGTGGCAGGCGCGAGTGATTGCGCAGCGGGGCGGATCGACGCCTCAACGCCCCGGAGCGACACTGGGTAGCGGACCAGTGTCGACGGGCGGAGGCGGATCGCTGCACGCGCGCGCACTGTAGCGCCTGCACCCCGCGTCGGTTCCCTTACCTAAACGAGACGCGAGAGCGGACTCGTGTTTTAGGTTAAGCGGTGGGTTGTCGACCAAGGCGGAAGGTTGTGGACAAGCCCGTGCTTGTCCCTTTCCTCCGCCGTCGGTCGCTCCCTTATTTAATGTACAAGTGTTCGGTTATCATACCAGACTACAGTATCATGCTACCGTAGCCGGCGTGAGTCGTCGCGCGCGGTGGCTCTGTCAGCTATCGAGCTGACAGTACACGTGTGTGCCACGTGTGTGTGCGCACGCCCTGCACACGTGTGGTACACGTGTGGGCTCGTGTGGGCTGTAAGGTCCGTGCCTTACAGCCCCTGATCTAAACCTAATCGAATCGACGGCGCATATACCACAGGGCCCCCTCCTCAAGAGTGAACGTCCGCGTTCACCCTGCTTGAGGAGGCCACCCGTGTGGTCCCATTGCGTCCAGAGTCTCGCTGCTCCCCCGCGTTCCTTCCGATCACGCCTTCCTTTTCGCCGGTTTTTGTCTCGCGTGCGGCCATCGGGCGCGCACTTGGCACCTTTTTCGACCCTCAGGATTGGGACACTGTCTCGGCATGTCCCCATCACCAACGCTGAAGCCGTCCTCGCCGCCGCTCGCGGGCGTCGCTGTGTCGGCTCGAGAAGCCGCTGGGGAAGCGCCGTCGCTTCCTGCTTCGAGCGCGCCCCTTATCGACGGGTGTGTTGCAACGCCGACGCCAACCTACCCCTTTCAGAGGACACGCCCGTCGAGGGAGTCCACGCTATCCGAGGAGTTGGCGAGTGCCCCTAGTCGCGTCGTCGACGAGCAGCATGACGGCGGGTCGCGAGCACCTCTCCCCGTTGGTGCTGAGAGGGCTGTCGGCCCCGCCGCTGGGGGATCTTCTCGAGCTGATGTCCCGTCCCTTGTTGGCTCCAGCACGAGAGCGACCGAGTTCGATGTCCCCAGTACGACGCGCTGGTTTGGCGTACCGCTTTTGCGATCTACTCCGCTGCCACTCGGTGATCTCCGGTATCCGTGGGCGCGCTACGCTCGCGTGGGCGTAACGGTTGGCGAGATCTTGGCGAGCCCGGTCTTGCGCCCTGATCTGTCCCGCATCCGCAAGATCAGCGAGGCCGGCCTCGCTGATCAATCCGCGCTGGCCCTCAGCCGTCTTCTTGCCGAAGGAGACGGCGTGGCTTACCAAATCCCCGACCCGATACAGGGTGATCGCACCTTCGCGTTTGGCCTGGAAGAGGTTCTATACGTCGATCGTATGGCGGCCTACTTGTCCGGATTCAACCCGGACATTCCGCCCCGTTTTATCTTGGCCGAGATCCCGGGGCTCTACGTGTATCCGCGTCCGTACGCGTACACGAAGCCCCGGGTGGCCCTTCAGAAGTCCGCGGCGACGCTGATGCGCCTTCACGGCATCCCCGTGGCCCATCGGGACTGGTCCGTTTATCGGCGCTCCTCGGAAGAAGACGGTCGCGTCTTCCCGTCGGCCTGCTTTGAGCACGGGCTTTCGCCCGGGGACTTCCCCTCGCTGCCTCGTCAGGTTCGCGAGACCTTTCCTTCTCTAGGTATTCATCCGCTCCTGCCTTACGTTCTCAAGCACTTCGGGTATGCGGCCATCGACCCCGGTCACCCCGCCCGCGCTCTGTTGAGCGACAGCTGTGCCAAGGAGTGGGCGTGGTCCATCGGGAGCGCCTTTATGGCCGAAGCAAGTGTGCACGGCCGCGTGTTTCTTCAGTCTGGTGAGACCGTATCGTACCTGGCGCGACTCGCTCCCGACTTGCCTATTGTCCCGCCACATCCGCTCGAGCGCGGCCTTTCACAGATTTCCTGGACGCTCCGGGGCGTCGTTTCGTTGATGACACGGGCGGACGAAGTGAGTGAGCGTCATCACCACTACTGGCCGGATTTCGCTACGGGCGTACGTTGCGCGTACCTCGTGTACCACGCAAGGACGGACACGTTCGCTTCTCGCCCGGCGGCGACTCCGGAGTCAGCCGGACCGAGAGGGAGGCGGGGTGGTGTCGGCTCAGGGTCCCGGCGGAACCGCCGCAAGCGGTATCGGGACCTGGATGCCGTCCCTTTCACTCCCGCCATGGTAGGTGTCGACCCGTTTCGTTCCACTCCGCCCCGTGAGGCAGAAGAGCAACCGGTGATACCCGTTGCCTCGCCGGCGATCCTCCCCATGCCTCCGCTAGCTCCCCCCTCCGAGGACGTGACCCCTGGGGTGGCGGTTCGGGACCTTCCTCTTTCGCGGGAGGACATCACCTCCGTGCCCGAACTTGCGCAGGCTTTGGGACCCGCCGGTGACCGGGCGTGGACCGTGGGTGGCCTCTTATCGACGATGGCGAGCTGGTTCCTCGCACGGACTAATGAGGCTCGTCGCCTCAACGGGGAGCGCGACTCGCTCTCCCTTTCGGTCCGACGGTTGCAGGGCGAAAACGACTCCGCGCGGGGCGCTTCCCGTCTTCAGGCTAGCGCGTACGAACGCGCTGTCGCGGATCGAGATCGCTATCGACAGGAGCAGGACAGCCTTCGTGCCATCCAAGCGTCCGCGGCCCGTG